GATCAACCCACAGCAATCGGTAACCAAACCAAACTTTCCACATCACTTGAGAATGACCGCAATAGACATACATATGAATTCGTAGCCGTATTTGCGAACAATGGCTTGGTTAACTACTTCAAAACAGGTTGAACAATTTCGTCTAGCCCAGGATAAAGTGGCAATGACACAGGAAAAGATATATTCCGACACGATTTCGACATGGTGTTCTCACAATATGTTAGTTAGCTTCCACGATCGAAATTTATACAAGGGAAAAGTCATACATCCTCCAAAATCGTGCAATCGTAAAAGCGACAATAGAACCGCCGCCCAGGCGAAATTATCTTATTATCAATGGTATGGCCTTAAACTGAAGGCAAAGCGGAACGGAAACAGATGTTGCACACATTTGGATTGGAAAGTGAATGCTTCGAAAATGTAGCCACAACTGCGAATGGTTAAACGCGTTTGACGAAAGATACTTTCATTACTTTCTCAGATACTAACAAAAGTCGACAAAGCTTCGTTTGAGTGCGTAGATCAAAGCCGATGATATACGAACAAAATAAGCTGCTAGTCTTTATTCGTAAAATTTCGATGCAATTTACTCGGTACAACTTTTGAAATCTCGTCTAATTTTACCCTGTACTTCTCCTTGTTCCCTGATTGTGATTATGCTAGTTCGTGGCGAAGTAACGCGTTAGAACTAAAAGGAGTTTAACTTTGACCTATTTCTTTCTTCACCTGAATCACGAACTGAAAAGAGAGTAGAATTTTGATTTTCTATTTAAACTCAACTGGGATCAAAATAAGAGACGAAAGCGCTCACTAATTATGTACTGATTTGAGTCGTCCCATCGTTCGCTTACATGACTTGAGGCTAGCGGTCCAAATGTTATTCATAAGTAGGCTGAAATCCTTAATTCTGTCGGAGGGTCGTCACCTTTAATTTTTTTCTTTTGGCTAACGAGATTATCTGCATCATTCTAAAACGTGGTGTAAAGTCACCCACCTAAGGAAAAAAGCGATAGGAGTTTTCGAAGGAGAGGCATCTAAAGCGGATGATGCTGCTAAGAACAACCGCGATATGTAGAAGAAATCGCATGAATATGGAGCGAAGATTTAAAAGTGAGTTAAAGTATATCGACAGAGTTCTATATCCAATTCTTCAACGCAAACAACATATCCTATGGTCTTTGCCATGTTGAGAATGACCAAAAAATGCTATCGCAGCTACTAGCGGTAGTAATGAAGTTCTGCTGAAGAACTGTTGAGGTTCAGAACATAAGCTCAGATGACCTCGGTTGTGAGTTGCTCCTTCCCAAAATCGAAAGATCACATCTGCTCTGGTTTAGGAATATTGTAATGCTGCCGAAAAAAGGATTTCGAAGATAGACTCTTCAAAAACAACACAGTAGGTGGCCAACGCTACGCAGGGGGCTATGGCTCAGGTGAACTGAATACCTGGCATTACTCTACTTTTCTATCTTTCTCTTTCGTCCTACCCAGTTCATAAGATTTGTCAGATTGGCGTACGACCGAAGCTCTCTGAAGCTGCTATCCGAACTATTCGAAAAGAATAGTTATGAAAATAAATGAATATAAAAAGGCCTTAAAAATTCTCCTCTGTAGCTATCGACAGACAGAATAAATATCTGACTGGTTTCCTGACGACGAACATCTATTTTGTAAGCGAAGTAACATCACTGTCACTTCATCTAAAATGGGCGCGGATGAACTGTCCATCACACAGTAAGAGAAACCTTGCACCTCTGCAATGCACTGATAACAAGCGAAAAACAGTTAACGAAATGCAACAGTCATAGGAAAAATGAGTGCTTCGGAACAGAAGTCAGATGTTTCTTCAACTCTGGAAAGTAATCAATCCTTTTTCAAAGGAACGTACCTCAGGTCAGCGGTCAAAAGTTTCACTTGGACATCGTCTACGGCTGTGATAGATGAATACGATAGGTGTTCGAGTCGCTACTGTCTTTCTACATACGGATAGTAAAACTTCCAATTCAGCGGCATCAAGAAACACCATTTTGCCAGTTCGCGGTTTTCGAATGTTGGCTTTACAGCGTATTTCAGCATCTGTGTCGGGATGGAAATTCAACATCATAAACGCAGTTTGGGCATAGTTCCAGTTTTAGCATCTGGACAAGGAGTAAATTAGAAAAAATGAGCGTGGCCGAACGCACAAGCAATATTCGAAAATTTTAAGTTCAAGGCTAAATGCTAGAAGTGGGTATGAAGCTGGATAATAATGTAAAATTTCAAGCAAAAGTGAGGAAGTAATCGATTTCTGGAAATCGCGCGAAGGGAACAACTCAGATAAAGAAACTTCGTGGAATTAGAAAGTCGAGGGAAGCCGAAGACGCTAAGCAACCAAAAGATTCGAAAGTAATCTGGCAAAGGGAATTAACTGCGCAAATCAATTAAAAAGACTTTCCTCGACTGCTGAAGTCATGACAATTTCAAGCGAAAACGATCCGTCATTTGAAGAGCTGTTACAATCATCCTCATTCTGTTGAACATGAACATTCTCTATGAGGAATATAAAATACGGCAGTTCAAATTTCAATCAAGCTATCTACTATAACAGTGCCCTTTCACTGCCTAAATAACGACATAAAACGCTGGATTCATCAATATACAAAAGATACTGACTTCCACCACTTGTGCTATGAAACTCACACGGACTTTACTTGTCGTATTTCCCAGCTGGTAATTAATTTTTAAGTTTAATACATAAGTATCCCAGTTTCGATTCATTTAATACAAAGATCAATTGCTGGCGTCCAAAAATAGCACCGGATAACGCACGTCCTGTGGCAAGGTATTGGAAGTTTTAATTTGAATAATGCGATGTTTTTCAATGAAAGTGAAGTAACTAACAACCGCATTCGGTTTCTCCGTAAAATATTCATTTTTCTCCGTTAGAAGTGCAGGCAGTCCAGTGACTTTTCATGATGTTCAAAATACCTGAACGGTAGTCAAGCAGTAGGTAGACGTTGCCCGGTGCATTAGATCTGCTTTATCGCCATCTCTCAGAACTTGGACTGAAACTTTTAAAGAAAACTAGATGAGCTTTGTCCAACAAGGCTACCGCGAAATGTGGTTTTGTCGAGCTTGGGTGTCGCAATTACGGCTGAAAAGAACTAGTTTGAAACCAACCACTGGAACACGAACAAGAAAACGTAGTGTTTAAGTCGGTCAGGACGTGGTTCATATGACGCGAAAACGCTTATTACCAACGCTATCAACACAACGCTATGGCTTAATCTACTACGATTTTTCGCGCTGTTCGATTTGATCCGCGACGGTAAGTAATTAATTGATGTGTGTAGGGGAACGATGGTCCGAGGTTTGAGTCGACAGCAAAATCAGTGATGGTTGCGACAAAGTCCCAAGCGGCGCCGGCTATTAATCACCACTGACTATCAACCAAAGACATCGCGTATCAATCTCTGTCAAAGGAAGAGCATTTATCGTTCTTCGGACAAAGGGTGAACTCGCACTATCTGTCTATCCATTCGTCGCGACTGTGTGACGAATGACGACGACAACACATCAAACTGTTTCATGGCGCGTGCAGAGCCTACCTGCCAGTCTGCCATCTTCTTCACTTAGCTCCCTGTAAGCGTCATTTGGTCGCAGGTTATTTCGCATTTGATTCGGCAAGACAACAACC